GTCATCTGGAATTTCTAGTGAGTTGTTCCTCTTGTATACAAAGGTTCTGGTCTATAAATATTTGTAGAAGTCTTGATATATTTGATATATTATATCGAGCTTCCAGTGAGTCAAATGTCCTAAATTCCCCATTCTCAAAGAGGTCAAAGATTCTAACAATGCCAGTTTTTTGTCAAAGTGTAAACTTTGCAAGATTATCTGTCAGTGTTGTTATACGATAAAGAGGATGAATATTATAAATATTTTTGTTTCCTCCAGGCCCATAATGCATAAGTTATCACATGGTTGTTTTTCACAATGTGTGAGAGCTCTTTCAGGTTCCAAGGATGAGGGGTTGCTCGGCTGAAAGCTTATGGTGGTCAGATGAGCAGATGGTATGATAGGAGTAACAGAGCAGGAGGCTGTCAGAAGGGAAGGAATGGTGATGTGCAGGAGAAACTTAAAAATGAGAAGCAGAATCTTAAAATGAATGCGTTATTTTACGATATTTTGATGGTTCTAATGTTGTCATGTTTAGATTTACAAACAGCTGATGGTGCAAAGCCCGATGGTACCAAGCGGCAAGGCTGAATCAGGCTGGTTCATTATTTCTTCCACTATTTAGGATAATTATTGCCAAATTACTTTCTACCTACATATTAGCCTGATTTCTTCAACACATTCAGTTAACGCTGCTAATTAGTGAGAATCATTTGTTAATGTCAGAACAATGTCATCGGCGTACAATAAAATGTTATTGTTTGTTACCGAATGTTATTTCTTGAATATCTGGATTTAGGGCTGGGCCATATTATACCGTTCACGGTAATACCGGTATAATGTTAGGCAACGATAGGAAAATGAAATATCGCGATAGAATATGAGTAAAACGCGCATGCGCAGTGCCTTTGTTTTCATACGCACATGGCCGATTGTTGAGTGAAACAGATGAACCAGAATTGGTTTGTAAAAATCCCAGATTTAAGATGCTCTTAAATCTGGGAGTAATCTGTATGCTTCAGGTCAAACGAACACTGCAGCATCACTGAGAGTTAAAAACTGTCTAAATTCTTTCATCTTTAATAAAA